GTGCTTGCCTATTTCAACTGATGAGAATAAAAACTTTTATTTGCATTTACTGTAACATAATTCTAAAATAAGTGAATAACATTAAGACGTTACTAACCTAGAGTTACTAACTAGCTAGAGTTACTATTATTAACTAGCTAACTGGGGCACTTTAACATGCAAACCACCTCACCAGCACATCATCCAAAGCATGTAAGTGATAGTAGAATGTATTTCATAGGGTAAGATCCACAAAGGTGCAACATTTGGAAAAGCCTTTATTTTAAGATTAGAAATGTGTTTTTCATTATGCTTTTTTCAGCTCACTTATTTATAAGACCAGTGATTATTTCAAGGCTAATACCTCAAGCATATTTTAGGGTGTATTTTATGGTATTTAATCTTCTAAAGATATTTTCATCTCCATTTCTGCAAAAGTATTAGCTTTTGCTCTTATTTTTTTTCTAAATAAAAATACTACCAGGATGCACGAAACTAAGATGAAGGAAATGGAAATGGATATTGCTAAAAAAATTCAAAGCATTACTGACCTTAAACAGCTGCTTCGGGAAGCAACAGAACGTGAACAAAATGCTGATAAAAACTTACAAGAGCTAAAAGAACAAGTGAGTAAAATTTAGCCACATGAGTCTGAGAATAGATTGCTTAATATTAACTAATTTCTCTGTACTGTCTATCTTGGCAAAGTACATTTTTTTCCTCTAATCCATGCTCTTATAGGTTTTTTGAATCCTAATTGCCATAATTGTACATTTACATATTTTAGCCAATTAATGAGGTTTACCACATATTTTTTTTCCTACTAAATTCTTTGGTAAAGTTTTTTTAATTATAGTTTCATTGTTCCCATGAAAGCCTGTAGGTAGATGGTCTTAAATGGTCTTAAAATCTTTCTAGTTTGTTCCACAGAGTGAGTTTGCTGCAGGGACTTCCCTCTTCCATCCAGAGCTTTTTGGGGGATTGACTTTGTCATCCTAAGGGGGGATCTTCATGCTTATTTCCAATATGGCCATTTCCATGCAGTCCCATAAGACTTATTTCACACATGGAAGAGTTGATGAATTTTAAAGTTGTGCGCCTTTGAAAAGATGTATCAAATTTTGTCCTTTAAGTACTCCAAACATGTAGCCCTAGGACCGTTCATCTTCTCATTTATTAAGATGTGCATGGTTTTCTTCCCCTGACATCTTGTACTGGCCATTCTCAGTGTAAGGCATTGAATACACAAGTCTCAATATAGGAAGTCATATATAATATGTAAGAAAGTAAATATGATCAATAAATACAACTTGGAATTGAGTGCTATAAAACAATTATTGTTAATTTTTGCTTGTTTTCCCTTTTCTAAAGTCAGCATTATTAACATGAAGTGCATACCAGCAGCAAAATTAACACAGAGAGAAAATTCTTTCTTTATGTGCTATTACTCTGGAGCAACACACTTTCCAGTTTCTTTCATGTCTCAGATACTGATGAAGGGATGTGGCCAAGGTTAACTACATTTCAAAGAAATACTGTGAAAAAACTCAAATCCTGTCCATTTTAGTAGTAATAGAACAAAAGCCTATCACTAACAGTAGCCTTATGAGAGTACATAAGTTGTCAGTGCATTCAAAACTGTATATAGTGTCATATTTAAAACAATTTTTTGCTCCTGCGTCTTCTACTGAAAGGCACTTGTGGAGGCTAACTCCCTCTCTGGTCAGGGACCTGTTCTAACTTATGACTGCAGGTCATTTCTAGTCAACATACACTGTTTAAAAAGGAACTCTTGACACCTAGGTATGCAGATAAGCCCGGCAGTAGTATTTTTAAAACACTTAACTGCATATCACTTCCTTAAGCATGTGTATAAATTATGCTAATATAGCTCTGCATCTAGCTTTCTTTGTAAATCTATCTTTGGAATATTTTTGTTCTTTATTCTTCATGAAATACATAGCAATGATCTATACTAACTTTAAAAGGACTGTAGATAATTCGCTTTGAGGTAACTGTCAGCTGATGAACACTTGCTGTGATAATCTAGTACTTGGTTACATCCTTAGTGTTATTTTCATTCTTTTTTTTTAAACCTGTATCAAAGATAAATCCATCTGAACTGCATTATCCATGGATAGTATTTTTAAGAGTAAAACTTTCTTGCTTTTTCTTTTAAGATTGAGCTTCTCAAACAGCTTCCTGAAGGTGCAAGGGCAGAGCAAAGCCTCACCAGGGAGCTTCAGCTTTTAAGGTAATGTACTTTTAAATAACTAAATACCTCAGCTGAATACCATGAAAGAAGAATGACCAAGAAATTGCCATTGTGATTTTTAGTTAATTATTTCATATTCTAAACTATTCTAATAACTTGTTTTATATTCCAGATTAACTAATAATCGATTAGAGAAAGAAAAAGCAGAACTAGCTCACCAGGTGGAGGATTATAAGCACCGCATACACACATATACAAGTGAAGGTCCTGCAGCTGGTAAACATTTTCAATATATAAAATAAAGGTCTTCCTGTATTTAGGGCCTAAAAGTATTTTTACTTAATATGCGTGTGCAAAATGATAGTAAATCTACAGAATTATTTGAATTCTATTAATGCCAGAGTAGTCTAAACTGGAGCAGACTAAGGTCTCGGAGTAAAAATCTACATAGTTAACTAACTTAAACAAGAGGCTGTAATCTTTGTAAGATTTCCTTTTTTAAGGTGTGTAGTTATGTCACCATTTGCTTTAAAAACCTCAAAAGACTGCTTGTAAGGTGTCAGTCATTTACTGAAACCCTCCTGCCTTGGGTTCCAAGCTGCCAGAGAATAAGTGTCTGTTTCCAGATACCAGCTCTGTGAATGATTTAAGACTTGGCAGAGATCAGTCTCATAGGAAAAGAAGAGCACTACAGAACAACACACTGCCATGACTGGGAAAAAAATTAAAATTAACCCTTTTGAAATTATGAATACAGTTAACAAGATCCTTATACTATGTTATTTCCAGATTTCCTGCATTTAATTAAGAGAAACTGCACATGTGGTATTTCTCAGCAATTGGATTGCATTCAGTCACAGGAACTAGACACCACCACCTAATTTGTACAAGAACTAAAGTAAAGCCCAGATGACTTGAATTTTTGGTGCTTGTTTATCCCAATTGGGCTTATACACTTTCAGCTTTCAGGAGATGTGGAATTACTGTAAAAAGATTCGTGTCATTGACTTTCATTACCTTAAATTTCATAACAAATTATCATTATTTTTGCAGGACATAATGAAATTGTAGAGAGGGATAAAAATGACAAGTTAATGGCAGAAGTAGCTGACCTTCAGACACAGTTGAAAGCCTCGGAGTTGGAAAAACAGCAATTAAAGGTGAGCTGCAAGGATCATCCTAGGCAAGATAATGAGCAAAATTATGGTTAGCTCTATTTGATGACAAAGTCAATTCTAAACATTATCTTTGTGAAAGCTGTTTTGTTGGTAGTGAATGTGCTGTTCATGGGTAGATTTTTGTGTCTCCACAGAACATGCTTATTTAGCCTTTTAAGAAAATATCCATTATATGCATTATTTAGCCTTTTAAGAAAAAGGCGAAAAAAGCTGCTGTTAACGTGTATTTCTTAACTTCTGGATAAAGGTGGTACTCCTTCATTCTTTTTAATAGGAAGAAACAAAAAAGCTGAGAAGTGAACTAGAAAACTTTGACCCTTCCTTTTTTGAAGAAATTGAGGATCTGAAATATAACTACAATGAAGAATTAAAAAAAAATAGTATCTTAGAAGAGAGATTGAAGCAGCTTTCTGAAGAGTTTGGCATTCAAGTGGATAGTTCAGGCAATGTTTCTGTTGGTTAGTTTAGTGTTTAGTATCCTAAGTATTGATACAGAAAATAAATTCTGGCGCAGTTACATAATACTGATTTATTTGTCTGTTTTTATCTTGGAATGATACAAGTCTGTTACGGTTACAGTAGTTTGGCACATACCTAAGAGTACACAATTGGGTTAGTCAACAGATTATGGCCAGTATTTATATACACCAGTCAAAATAAAAGTGAGTGTTATCTCTTCTAACTTCTTTGCAATATTTTATTTTAATTCAGAACAGTAATTTGGATAATACACAGGTGTCAGGTGAAGTTGAAACCTTGGGCTTATCCTAAAAGCTAAGAAAAATGTGCTAAGTATGCTATGTTCCAGATTAATGAGAAACTTGTTCTTGCCATCTCATGCTACTGTACTTCTTAATTATGGACTCAGGGTCAGTGCGCTGGACGTCTGTTCTTACATCTCTGGTTATTGTTACCTCAATTTTAAAAAATCCAAGAACAAAGAATTGAAAATAAAGTTTAGTATTTCAGCCAAACTAATGGTATTTTTGTAGATAAATTATTTTTCATTTTGTATATTTTATATAGCTGGATGTATACTTTTATAGCACCGATAAAATAAAGCCAACTCAAATGATCATGCATTCTCACCTTTGTTATTTATATGACATCTTAGTTAATATGCCCTTAGTGAAGTTTCCTAATTGAAGTGCAGTCTGAAAATGAGTATTAAGCAGAGTCATGTGTCTGTCTAATTGCTGAAGATCTCCAAAACAGAAAAAATATACTATTATTTACTCTTTTTGTCTCAAAATACTGGAAATTCCTGTAGGATATAGCTTAATTAGGTTTTCAAGTAATAGCACAATGCTGCAGCTTACCAGTTAAATAATATGGTGAAAAGTTTTCACCTAAAATAAACTCTTATAAATTAAAAAAAAAGAAAAAAAATCCATCAAATTTCAGGACTAATTTTGGTTCCACCTGAAATATATCCCTTACTGTTAAGAAACAACTAGATCCTAAATCTGAATCCTACATATAACGGTATCATAATAATTATATTTATAGAAGTGCAACCTATGTAACTTTTACTGTTGATTGCATTCATTAGCTAAGCACTTAGGACTAACCAATATTAGATATCATACTTCTTACACTTAAATATAGCAGTTTTCAGAAATGGGTTCAAAAGTTCAGGAGTTTTCAGAACTGAAAATAAACAAGCTGAAAGCTAGATCTCTGCTCTGGATATCAGCTCTCTCATATAAAACTAGACATTTCAGAAAAAATTAAAATCATACAGTACATAGGCCTGCTGCCTAACCTAGATTTAGGTAAAGAGTTCTGTGGTATACACAAGTAAGAGGAATGCAGCACATACAACAGTTAACTCAAAAGCGAAAAATCATTTCAAGCATCAAACTTGATATCTTTGAGTCTGTCAAATCTTTGACCATCCAAGTTTGAAAAACGGTGAAACAAACTCTTTGGTTCAAAGTCACAGTCATATTTTGTTCTATTAAAAGAAATTACAACAGGCTGAGAATTCAGGTATGTCTCTGCCAGTGGCCAGGGTAAACCAAGATGATGGCGATGGAGCTGAAATAAAAAGAAATAAGATCAATTTAGAGATTTTGATTGATATAGTAGCCCAACAGTTCCCAATCTGGGGGGCATGGGTGTGTGCACTTTAATTCTAGGATCCTCTGCGTTAGGGCACTTGCAACCGTTAATCAGTTATCTGAATAATATGAGAAACAGTGAAGCACAAAAGGCAAACCAGAACCCAATGTGATTTTTAGTTAATTAATTCAGTTAGTTAATGTGTGTCCTCCACAGCTTCAGAAATAATATAAACTTGCTAATTAATAAAAGATCACATTCTTATAACAATACTTGTTCTTTAAGTCAACATTACAAAAAAATTAATTTTTTATATAAAAGAATTAAGCTTTAAAATGTTGAGTGATTCCTATACAGAGAGACAAGAAAATATTTTATGTTCTCAATTAAGTTATTAGCATAATGTAGATAATGAAAGTTTATTATGTTGTCATTGTAGTGATTCACTGGCTTGACTAATTCTGTCACCTGATTTGCTAGAACATTCACTACTAAAGAATTTGGAAAACAAAAAAAAAATGAATACTTCACAATACTTCACATATTATGAATTACTATAGTGCTCTCCACGTGTCCATATATATATATTTACCTTGATTAAACACCCATCATGGCAGTGCCACACAATTCCTTCAACTTTACCCTCACTGCAGCCTTCAAACCAAGACAGTATGTCATTTTGATTCAACGGAGGTGGATTCCTTATTTCAAATGCTCCATGTGGTACAAGAAGATGTATAGGCTGCTTCTTACTTCCTAATCCTGTGTTTAAAGAAACAAAAATCTTACTGCTAGTTTCATGTGGTAACTTGAAATTTTCCTCACTTCTGTTATTACAGCTATCTTGAAAGCACTCTGTAAAGGTAAACATCTATTACAGATGACAACTTTGTTCTGCCTTTAAAAGAACAGCTAACTACACTTTTAAAGTATCAAATGTAGCAGTCTCCTCCTCCTGTAACTTCTTATTTATATAAAATAAACATGACAGAGATTTATACAGTTATCTGCTATCGCCTTGTGGTCACGTCATCAGTAACCATAAAGATACTAACTAAGTTCTTCATGCTTCAGATCAAGGTCCATAGCACAAACACCTCAGTTCCTGAAAATCTGGGATATTTTCTTACAAATATGGATTAACCCTTAGGCCAGGCTGTTAACAAATGCATTGTCTCTTCACTGAGTGTTCAAAGTAAATCTTCATCTAAGAATACAGCTATTACATTTTTTGTTGCAGTTGCTTTACATTCTGAGAAAATGCTTAGATGGGGTACTGCTATTTTTCGTATCCATCCTTGCAAGTTATCCTAACAGCAAAGCTCAGAAGCTCAGACTCACTTGTGCTCACACCTAATTGGATTTTTGTTATAAGGCTTTTAAAGGGAGAAGCCACAACCAAAATTTAGCTTAAATTAGATTTCCTTTAAAAAGACAATATTTCATAACTCTAAAATTGCAACTTATGACTAACTCTAGGGCTGAATAAATGGCTGAATAAAATTTTCTACTTCAGTGGACTAAACAGCATCAGAAGAGCAAGTTAAAAAAAAGTCAAGGCACCACCAAACAATCTTAAAAATATTTTCATAGTAGTATTTAAAACAACTTTTCCGGTCAGCATAGTTTTAAAGACTAAAGCAAAGCATTTTTATTGTAAATCCTAAAGAACATGCACGTAGAAAGAGGTTAACAGACATACATGACAACTAAGCTTTCTGAGGTATTTTTGGGTGAGTGTTCTTTGAGCTAGCCATTTCTCTCTTTTCTAAAAAAGTTACATTGCTACCTTAGAACGTTTTTTAAAAACCCATAGAAAGAAAATGCAGCTTTCATTCCAAAATATAACTAAATAAAAAAGTATTTAAGAACAAGCCATACAGACTTACCATATGGATTTGCATTAATATTAGTCCCAATAAGCTCCAATGTTTGTTCTAAAACTTCTGACAGTGGCACCGGACTGATTTCCAGGAGCCCTGGGTCAGCATGGTGTTTCAAAACCAGCGCTATTTCAGCCTCATAATTTACAACAGATGAGTGCCAGCAATGCTGCTTACTATTTTTCTCCACAGGCACCCAACCTATGAGAAAACACTGCATTTTACCAAAGTAAATATCTGAAGTTATCAAATGTGCACTAGGACTGTACATGCATTGAAAAATAAACAAAAGAGAAACCACCACAGGTAACTACAAACAGAGTAACAAGAAAAACTATGAGAGTGCAAATGAGCAATGCAAATGTGACAACTGTGCTTCCAGCTGAAGCCCTGTAAGTCTGCACAGCAAACTGCAGTTATTGCCAATGTGTCAGAAGAACAAAGCCTTTCTGTATATAGTGAATGAAGGGCATTCCAACTGCTTTCTGAATATGTCAACTGCTACTTTTAACCCTGGAACTAATTCTAATTCACTTAAAAAATTGATCCCCCCCACCCCCCCGCTCCCATTTTATCTGTGCTGCATCATAGGTACCTGGCATATGTCCGTTTTCATCCGGCAGAGGATTGCCATTAGAGAAGTCTATGTCCTTTGCTGGAATCCAGGTATCTGGAACAGGCTTGAAATCCTCTTCAACATTCCAAACAAATTCTAGACATATAAATGTAACATTTAGTTTTTGGCAAACTTGGCCAAATTTTTATCATGTTTTAATGCAAGTATTAAAATACAATTGATCTAAACCTTGTTTGACAGACAGTAGTCTGTTACTTTGTACAAGCACTAACATCTGGCACACTCAAGCAGTTTGTAATTAGGAAGGGTTTAAAGAAACATAGTAGCCTTTAAGTAGTTTAAAAATTTAAAACTAACAGAATAACAAAAAGTTTCTAATTAGCCAACATTGTATGTAAATTAGAGCAAGAGAAGTAGAATACAACAGACCATTTCAGCTGGAAGGGAGCTACAATGATCATCCAGTCCAACTACCTGACCACCTTAGTGCTGACCATGTTATTCAGGGCATTGTCCAAATGCCTCTTAAACACTGACAGGCTCGAGGCATCGACCACCTCTCTAGGAAGCCTGTACTAGTATCTGACCACCCTCTCAGTAAAGAAATGCTTCCTAATGTCCAGTCTAAGCCTCCAGTGACACAGATTTGAACCATTCTCACATGTCCAATCACTGGATACCTGGGAGAAGAGCTCAGCACCTCCCTCTCCACTCGCCCTCCCCAGGGAGCTGTAAAGAGCGATGAGGTCACCCCTCAGCCTCCTTTTCTCCAAACTAGACAAGCCCAATGCCCTTAGATGCTCCTCATAGGACATTCTTCCAGCCCTTTCACCAGCTTTGCTGCCCTCCTCTGGATGCATTCAAAAAGACCTTCACATCCTTAAATTGTGGGGCCCAGAACTGCACACAGTACTCAAGGTGAGGCTGCACCAATGCTGCTGAATACAGCAGGATAGTCACCTCTTTTGTGCAGCTGGTTATGCTGTGTTTGATGCACCCCAGGACATGGTTTCCCGTCTTGTCTGCCAGGTCTCACTGCTGACTCACACTGAGCCTGCTGTCACCCAGCACCCCCAGATCCCTTTCTGCAGGGCCGCTCTCCAGCCACTCCTCTCCCAGTTTATACTTGTGCCTGCTGTTACTCCACCCTAGGTGCAGAATTCGGCATTTTGACTTGTTAAATTTCACCCCATTAATCACCGCCTAGTGCTCTAATCTATATAGATCCTTCTGCAAGGCCTCTTGTTCCTCAAGACAGTCCACAGCACCTCCCACCTTGGTATCATCAGCAAACTTGCTAAAGTGTTTTCCCAACTGGGTAACATGCATTGCCAGAAAAGCAGGAAAGAAATCTTCACTAACCTTTGCCATCTTCCAATGAATACAAAAATTGTTTAAACCTTTTTTCAGCTTGTTTGTTGGGTTTCCGATCCAGCCTGGCCCATAGATATGGTTTCCCTAGAATTTCCAGAGGGATAAAACCAGAAGTTTACTAAGGTAACCATACCCTGTAGAGTACTGCAAACAACTACATAAAAGGCAATACATGAATTGTCAGTTATCACTACAGAAATTTTATATCTAAAGACACTATTTAAATTCATAAATTAATTACTGTATATGAATCTAAAAATCTATGTGTAGAATCTTGCCTAGTTTCATACAAGTTTCCTTACAATTTTAAGTAAAGGCAAGAATCCCAGTGATGCAATGAACCATAGTCTTCACGTTTCCTTCCAACTTCCACACTTCTTTTAATCCTCCCCAAAGAAATTAGACATTGTTTACTAAATAAATTCTAGTGTGCAAGGAAGATTTACTGGAACAGTTCCTTGATTAGCATGTTCACTGAAAACATACTTTATGTATTTTAGAGAGTAAAATCTATAACAACTTTATAAACCCCTCCTATTGTCCAGTAACTATTACTTCGTGGCCAAGATATTTAATTACAGTTGAATTCACAACAGCTGAAATCCAATAAATCATACAATAGAAAACTAAGTAAAGCAAGGCTTATATTCAGCATGAGAAATCTGCACATGGATCTTCCTTATTACCTTTATAGGTAGTTACATAGCAGCAGGTTCCGTCCACCTTTTCAGTAGGAATTGCATTGTATACATCTGCCTTTAATGCCTTTGCAGTTACAGTTTCAGTTGCCAAAACTTTAAATGGCTGAAAAGAAGACAGGTATTTTAAACCTTCATCATGGCTATGTTACTGCCTTGTTCTCATATGGGTTCCTACTCATTACAGCTGGCCTCTGCAAGTCCAGTATTACACATTATATCGCTCATTTCTAATCCTATTACAATACCCTTTTGTTTCTTCAAGACATGAGAGTCTGGAAAACGCTCTACAACAAAAGTACAGAGGCAACCTGTTTGCAGACTCTCTCCCTCTTTTCCATTCTTGATCAGTACTTAGAGATGACTTTGCCTTCCACCTTAAACAGTGCATACAAACTAGAAGGGTTCCAGTCCAACACTGCAAGACACTGAGATGTGTCTTCCTGTATTACAATGGCAAGAGAAATTCATCATGACCAGCTGCTCCGAGCTTGCAGTTTGGAGCTCAAAGTGAAAAGCACCATGTTAGTGCAATACACAGACCAGTGGAACACAAGGTGGCAAAAGCATCCTGGTATTAAGTACTTAGTATCAGTGCTGTCAACTCAATACTTTTCCACTTAAAAAGAGCAAAGAAATAAGTGATCTGGACATCTGAAACAAGTATCCAGCCACAACTACTCCAAATTTCTAGAAGGACTTCTATAGCTAGGACTTCACAGAATCACAGATGCTCCACTCCCTTAATCATCTTTGTA